GATACTTTATTTTTTACCACGATATTTTCGACGACAATGTTTTCAAACTGCGAAGTTTTTGAACCGCTTTAATTTCGATGACGATGTTTTGTACCACGGTGTTTTCTCCCACGATGTTTTGTAGCACTAAGTTTTCGCCTTGCGTTGTTTTCTCCACGACATTTTCATCTGCGATGTTTTTGGCTGTAACCATTTCACAGATGCGAGTTAGAAGGCCTATGGGGCTGTTCTGTATTTCGTTACTCGAAAAATGGAGTCATTCATACAAGCTTTGTTACATCAAAATCATGAGTAGCACCTTTGAAAAAATTATCACTTCCCAGATTGGAATTGATGGGTGCTTTGATGGGCTCCTGATTGTCAAAATACATCCCAAAGAAACTTAAAAGCATTGATTTAATTGTATATATGTGGACTGATTCTAGTATAACATTACACTAGATTTGAAGTGATATGAAAAGATGGAAGCCATTCGTGCAGAACAGAGTGAATACAGTAGAATTCAGATGTGTTCAACTGGAGATATACCCCTGGTGAAGATAATCCAACTGACTTGCTAATTAGAAGTGAAAACGTCAAACATCTGAAGCAGAATAGCATATGGTGGGAAAGGCCCATGTGGTTAAAAGAAGAAATGAAACACTGGCCAAAACTGAATTTATGTTCCACAAAGTACATTGAAGTTTGCAACAAAGAACTGAGAAAAACACTGAAGGAAGTGCTCGTAAATTCATGCATCACAAAACCTTCCGAAGATTTATTTAAAACCCAAAATTACAGCAATTTACACCGAATTACGGAATTACTGCGTGGTGCTTAAGATTTTATTAACAATGTTAGAAATACTTCAAAGTTATCAGGATGCTTGAAGGTTCCTGAATTGGAAACAGAGGAAACTTATTAGATTAAACAGGTTCAGGAGTGAAATTTTCCAAATGAAATATGGGCATTAATTAAAGAACAACAAGCAATTAAGTTCAGAAGCAAAATTTAAGTCCGTAAATCCATTTGTTATGAATTGACATTTGATTCATTTGTTGAAAATGGTGTAATTCGTGTTGGTGGGCGATTAGAAAATTCAAATTTGGATTACAAACAAGCACATCCAATCAAATAAAAGATAAATTTTGGTTGCTGAAAGCTTATAGGAAAATTAAGTGGTGTTCTGTACAACTGCAATGTCTGCAAAATATTTCAAACAAAATCTGTCATGCAAGAATAGCACCCCTCCCACCAGACAGATGCCGAGAAGCCTTCCTGTTTGAAAACTCTGGGATAGATTACGCAGGTCTACTGTACATCAAAAATGGAAGAGAATTATATGACATACATTTTACTGTTTACTTCTGCTGTAACTAGAGATGTGCATTTAGAACTTACAGCTGACCTTTCCACAGAAATTTGTTTGCATTTAGATGATTCGTAGCAAAAAGAGGTTTGTGCCCAATAGTGTATACAGACAATGCCAAAACCTTTAAAAGAGCAAAAAAAAGAATTAGAGTTATTGAACCAGGTGATGAAAAACAATAAAGTTCAAGATGAGTTCTCTAAACAAGGAATCAAATGGAATTTTATAATTGAGAGGGCAGCCTGGTGGGAAGGCTTTTGGGAATGTATGGTTCAGTCTCTCAAAATTCTTTTGAAGAGAATCCTAGGCAAATTATCCTTGACATTCAGGGAATTATAGAAAGCCATGATAGAAGTTGAAGCTATATTGAACTCCAGACCTTTAACATATATATACCTGGATCTAGGACAGCCAGAATCTTTGACCCCTGATCATTTCTTCATAGGAAGAAGGTTTCTATCATTGCTGCAAGGAAGCACTAAATTAACAAACAAACTTGAACAAAGGAGAGTTACACATCAGTTTAGACATCAACAAGTACTGGTAGAAAGAATCTGGAGAAAATAGAGACAGGATTATTTGATGAATTTAAAATCTGCTCATCATTTCAAACTGGCAAAAACTGACACCTGTTTGAAAAAAGGATCTGTTGTATTAGTGCAGGAAGATAAAATTCCAAGCATGATGTGGAAGAAGGGTCAGGGTTGCCACTTAAAGAGGAGAATGAAATTCCCTGACTTTTCCAGGTTTTCCAGGTGTGTTTTGAGTAAATTCCAGTCTATCCGCATAGTATGAGTTTGCTGCGCTGAGAAGTAAATTAATTATGTTACCACTTGAAAACACAAAAATTTGCATATGACTTGTTATATATAGAATCCTGAAAGAATTATTATTATAGCTATAATAGAAGTTGTTTTCTCCATTGAAGACTGGGATTAGAATCTGCCCAATCTGGATTAATTTTTTTTTTTTTTTTTTTTTTTTTTTTTTTTTTTTTGTGCACACATTTTGCAGCTAAACAAAAGAAAGAAATCTATTTAATGATATTTTTAAATAAATTCAGGTATTTTATATTTATTTAAACACATACATAAACAAAAATATGTGCATTAAATTTTGTGATAGTATGTCATCATACTGCTAGATTTAGTTTCAGAATTATGCCAGAGAAATCTGCCTGAAATTTGAAAGTATTATTAACTAATAATAAATAAATTTAGAGGAAGAAGAATATTAAATGATATAAATAACATTAAAATGAAGTAATTACTTAAAAATTGAATTTCAATAATCAATGCTATTTTTGCAAATATTAAACATTAGCCTAGATGACTGATTACTATTTTTTTATTTTACTGCAAAATGAAAAATCTGTTGTATACGAGAATGGGAAGGTATTTTCTTTAGTTCAACATAACCTGCACATGCGAGTTTTAGGATTCTAGAGGTTACTGGAAACCAAACTTGCCGGAAACTTGCTTTGCCTTTCTAAAAGACAATCTGATTGGAGCGGCAAAAATTGGCTCTACGCCAGCCGAATGACACTCATCCGATACATAATTCGCCAACAAAGTCATCGCTTCCAACATTGATGCAAAACACGCTTTTTTTGGGGGGGATGGACATATGACATTCCCCGACTTTTCCAGATTTTGTCTAAAATATTTAAATTCCCAGACTTTTTTAGTCAATTTTAGAATTCCCTGACTTTTTCTGGTTTTCCAGGTAACGTGGCAACCCTGATGGGTATCCTAATGAAAATCTTTCCAGGAAGAGATGGCAAGCTGAGAGCATGTGCTGTCTGCTTGCCCAATGGCCATACAATTTAAAATTAAAAGCCCAGTGAGCTACTATATCCAGTGCAGCTGGAATGTAATAAGGACAATTTCAGTAATTGTCCTTTCAGGCCAGTGATGTTGCAACTCAACCCTTGTCAAGATCGATGTAACTCATGGTAACATAACATAACTCACGGTCAGAGATCACTCGAGAACTCTGAAGGGAGAAGTTGCATGCTGCGTCGTGCCAAGTTAAAAACATTTTATCTGTAAGTATATTATGTAGATATTTGCATCATATTAAACCTGTGTTTTGTGTAAAGACTGTATTGATCATACGTCACACAGCAACATCTAACTCATGGTAACATAACATAACTCACGGTCAGAGATCACTCGAGAACTCTGAAGGGAGAAGTTGCATGCTGCGTCGTGCCAAGTTAAAAACTTTTTATCTGTAAATATATTATGTAGATATTTGCATCATATTAAACCTGTGTTTTGTGTAAAGACTGTATTGATCATTTTTGGATTTTTAATCTCTAAGGATATAAATGAAAAGGAAGAAAGATCACCAACCAGTGGCCCTGGCAACGAACCCGCAAGGTAAGCGCCTTTTGTTTTACCTTGATTAATTTGTTGAAGTGAAAATAATGCAATAATAATACCTCCAAACAGCTTCTTTATTCTTTTTTCCAGTTTATAATCACATGCTAAAATTAAGCAAACACATTCTGTCATGTTAAAGTATGGGATATTCATACATCATAGTGGCTTTCATATTCAGTCATCTTCAAACTATCACATACTGTATTTTTTGGAATATTTAGTCTGGTAGTTCCTGAACTGTATCACATGGATTTTCAGCTACAGTTTCTTCTTATAGACATGTTCTTGTTTCAGAAGTTGGTAGTCCACAGTGAACATGCTCTTCAAGGCTTAAGTTTCCACACTTCTCGAACTAGCTTCGATCTTTGTCATCACAAACTGCACTTTTCCACTCATAACAAAATTTTACAACCTATCTATCTAACATTTCCCCCCCCCTTTTTTTTAAATAAAACAGCATAATATGACAAAAATCATCTTTTTGGTTCTCCATGCTTAGCACTGAATGAAATAAAAATTATGCATAAGAGAATCCTAGAATTATGCAATGCAACACCCTAGAATTACAAAATGCATCTTAGAATTATGCAAGCCAAAAAGATCATATTTAAACACCTGCTTCAATCAAGGTCACTTAATATTAGCAGTAACAAAACAATTAGGAAAAAATATGCTTCGATTTGAAAAATGCAGAGCTTTTAACATGACCCAAAATAGCTGACTACAGAAAATTTGAATTCATTTAATGTCACAAAATTACAAAATAAAAATAAATATCTTTTCGCAAAGAACACAAAGACTTCTTCATAAGGCTAAGCACTTTATAATTGCATTATTGTAAACTGACTGATTTGGAAAACCAATCTTTACATACATAATATATAATACATATCTTATCACAGAAAATTTATCTAAACTAAAAAAGTTAAGATGACAGATCATATAAAATTCTTTCAATAAAATTCTATGAAAATCATACTTTTTACATGAAACATGTAATAAAATATAACTCTTTTTAATACTGCTCATGCAGCATTACACATTCCTCAAAATATTGAGGAACAATTTTCATATCAAACCAAATGAAAAAATAGACATAAGTTTAATGCTTTAACTGAAGAACTATACTATGCACATACAGATTTTATAGATATAAAATTAATAAAAAGTATTTAGTAGTATCCTGAGTTCTGATTTCATTTTTTTACTTATACAAATTTTTACCATAAAATTAATATTTAATTAAAAACACAAAAATCTGTTACCTTGTAATATTTAGTTGTTGTTTCATTTTGGAATAAAATTATTGACTTTGTATCTAATCTCCAGTAATGACGTTTTTTCTGAAAACAAAATTTTAAAAATATCAAAATTTTTAATTTGGTAAGTAATTAAAATCATGATTTAAAATACAAACTTTAAAATATTACAATGCAAAAGGAATCAGTATGAACTACAGTATTCATACACATAAAAATAATTTTTCAGTATGCATGAATTACACTACTTTTTCCTCATGCAAATACAGTGAAATTGTGACTTGAAATTATCTTGGAATTTTTTTTAATTTAATTAAGGTTTTGTGCAAAATTACAAATAAAATTCATTCATTTCCTATTCCAATACTAGTACTTTTATATCACAAAATAATATATAATTAAAAAAACAAAAATTTCACATTTAATTAATATTAAAATGCATAAATATTATGTTTGGCTCATAGCTCATGCATACATAGACTTTCTTAATATAATCACATATTCAAAAGCATAGCATTTACATGCAAGAAAAACTCATGCTCCAATTTTAAAGCAAGTGTATCAAAACAAAGAAAAAAGAATCAACAATATCTGCTAATAAAAACTGAAAAAGAATAATAATTTCAAAAAGTAAACCATTCAGCTGATATGAAAGACAATTATACATGCCTTATAACAGATGGCACTGTTACATAGAAAAATTATTATTAAGAAAAAATACATAATAGACTTTTATGGGGAAACTTCAAAATTTCATTCATAAAAAATAATCCATGCAAATTATCTTTAAAAGTACAATCTTTTCACATGCAATATTAGAAATTATTTTTAAAAAAATAGTTCAGAAACATACTATTAATGTAATGGATGTGGAAATTAATAAAATAAAAATATTGTTTTTTTTTTTTTTTTTTTTTTTTTGTGGTCCTAAGCATAAATTTATGAAAATTCTTGTCTGATTGCTGACTAGCATAATGAAGTCTTTATATTTGAGCAATACCATAAAATAACACAGCTGGTTCTTTGGCAATCTGTATTCTCAACCATGCCTTTCAGTCTTCTAGCAATTTCTCAATTTCAAGCCATAATACACAATGCAGAATTTTAACATTTTAAATGCAAATTTCATTTCAGAACTGCAGGTTTTTTGCTGCTTTGAAAAATATTCTAAAACAATGCTTTCTTTTTTAAAAATTACTTCTTTTGCTATGGTATTTTTATTGACTACTTTCATTTCACTGTAACTTTTTATTATATTTTAAGTGGTACCGAATTGATTAACTACCATAATGACTGAATCAATAAGATCAGAAACAGCAAAACTCAATCTCTTAAATTCAAGAGATTTGGGAGGGAGTGGAAATTCCTTACACAAATTCAAATTTTTCCATTCTTACCACATTATATGTACGTTTTTTAAGCATTGTAAAAATAAGAAACTTATACTACTGCTTTACATATTGTCTATCTACCATTTTTATGAAATATGTTTTTCAAACAGGAAATAAGAAACTTGTCTTCTTGCTTCATACTGTCTAACTCTGAAGATTTGTGACTCATATCTTTTCTGATTTTATTGGTGCAATACTTTGTAATTGCTTTCTCGTATGTAAAGTTTTATGATGGTGGATTACCAATCTTTTCATACATAATACACTTTAAACTTATTTATTTTTTATTTATTTTCTAGATTATTAGAATTAATTCATACACTTTAAACTTATTTATTTTTTATTTATTTTCTAGATTATGATAAAGAACACAGAGGTTACCCGTCTAATGCAAAGAATGTCTTTGTGGAGGATTCATTAGAAATAACTAAATTATATTCATACTGCATGTGGTAAAAACCAAGAAAACTTCCATGCAATCAAGATTAGAAATTAGCTCTAACTACAAATGTTCAGGAGTTAATTGCAAGCGAGTGTTTTTATGATACTGATTTAATACCTAGGGTCTATCTATATATGCTCATTAAATATGTTTAGCATTTCTTTTAATTAAAATCAAACTTAAGTATAATATCTTTTAAATTTTCTTATAAATTTTCACAGCTTTCTTTAAATATTTCAGAACATGTTTAAAAAAAATAGCATATATATTTATGATTAATGACTTTTAAATAGTTTAAAGGTGTTTAATATAGTTTAATTAAGTACAAACAATTATAAAACTGCTCTTTGAAGATAAGAAGTCTGCATCTCACAACCTCTTTCAAAATGGCATTGTATAATTAAAATTACTAATCTTAATGCTTAACTTAGTGTTGCAATTTGTTGAACTTAAAATGAAATATCTATGATTGCTATTTTAGATGCTAATTTAAAAATTTTGCAATTTGGCACAAAATGCTATTTAGCAGAAGTGCCTGATAGCTGACAAACTCAACCTAAAAAAAAATTTTGCAATGTTTTTATGAATAATGTGCATAAGTAACTTGCAATTAAAAAGAGCTTTCGTTTGATTAGAAGAATAACACATCTCACGTGTATGGCATAAGATCTTTTCTTTTAATAATCAATAAACCTCTTATAATGCAAGGTTTTATATTAGTTAACCCAGCGATCCTATTCTTTGGCTTTACTTCTACTTCCATTAACTTCCATGAAAATGAAAATTAGTTAAACAAGAACAAAATCAGGAAAGGTACAAGTCACCAATTTAACAGTAAAGAGACAGTAACACATCGTTCAATAAGTCCCGAGACTAACTAAGAAAAACACATCCATTTCACAAAATTCACATTTATTCATCAACATAATTACCATCAAGTGCTATGCAATCATTCCAACGCCTTTCTAACTTTTCTATACCATGCTTGTAAAACGATTTGTCCTTGTCTGCAAAATATGCTTCAGTGGCAGCGATGACTTTCTCATTCGAGCCAAATCTTTTTCCCTGGAGCATCTTTTTCAGATCAGCAAACAGCCAGTAGTTGCTAGAGGCTAGATCTGGGAGTATGGTGGGTGGGAAAGCAAAGTGAAGCCCAACTTGTTCAATGTAACCAGTGTTTGAATTGACTTGTGGCACGGGGCATTGTCTTGATGGAAGATGGTATTTTCTTCTTCATGAGCAGTCCTTTTTTTTTTTTTTTTTTTTTTTTTTTTTTGCGATTTCGTTCTTTCAGACGCATGTAATGACTCATTGTAATAGGTGCTATTGATAGATTTTTCCCTATTCAAGGTAGTTTCGATGTAAATTGTACACCTTCGCACATCCCAAAACACTGATGCCATGACTTTGCCATCTGACTGTTGCATTTTTTGGACGCTTCGGATGGCTTTCACCAGCTGCACGACACTCAGCTGACTGCCGCTTCGATTCTGCAGTGAAATAATGGATCCACGTTTTGTCCATTGTCACATACCGACGTAAGAAAACCTGTTTATTGTTAGTAAATAGTGACAAATAGCTCTGTGAATTGTCGACTTCATTGCTGCTTTTGTTCCATTGTGAGCACATGCAGCACCCATTCGGAAAACACTCAAATCGCACATGCACTTCCAGTTCATATGTTTACCCTCTCGGTAATCTCACAAACTTTCACTTTGTGGTCATTCATCACTATTTTCAACACTTTTTTCACATTTTCCGGAGTGACTGATTCATTTGGCCTACCCGAACATGCCGCATCATTTGTATCCGTGCGACCGTGCTTGAAAATCATGCATACCAACGACAATTTCGGTTGTTTTTTTTTTTTTTTTTTGATGGAGCAGAGTCTGGATAACATTTTTCAAGCCATTGCTGAGCTTGGACGGTATTTTTGCCCATTAAATAGCAATGTTTGATCAACACTTGAAATTTGTTTTCCTCCATTTTGTCCCAAAATGCACAAGTAGTGTCCCCTTCACCACAGTAGCTTCACTGTTTCCGGTATGAATGGCATGAAAATCAGACGTGTGTCATTTGAAGGTTAGTTCTTTCGAACAACGAAGTCACGTTGATAATACTACGCCATCTGTCGGTTAGTCCCGGGACTTATTGAACGATGTGTTATGAATTATTTACTGCTTGAGGGAAAAAAGTAAATGGACAATTTAATGTAGATGTGTATGTTTCTTGTTTAGAGTGCTTAAAAACATTCATAATGTGATGAGAATGAGAAAACTTGAATGTGTGCAAAAGTTCCCATCTCCCAAAATAAATAAGTCTGAATTTTCACAATTGGCACTCACTTTGCTTTACTTTCTTGCTGTTGCAATTTCACATGCTGGTACAAGTTTCTGTTAGATACAATTGCTTCACAAACACTTAAGAGTGAGTGAGATTTAATTGTGTTTTTTTACTTCACATTTCATTTAATTTGAATTCTGGTTATTCACAACTTAATGGATTTCTGTTTCTGTTATATTTTGAGTTTGTGTAAATGTCAAGACAATAAACTAGTTTCTGTACACTTGGAGTTTATGTAACTGTTAAGCTAATGTGTTAATAAATAGCTTTTTTTTTAAACTTTTACTTAGTTTTTGATGTTGTTAGTTAGATGGAGAACGGGATGAAAAGTTGTCTGACGATCTCTATGATTACTCTGGGGTGATTTTTTGGTAATTTGGGATAGTGTAGGTGTATCAAATAAGTAACTCTTCCCATATGAATTTCTAGAAATGATTATTTCAATAAAATTTACATACTTGTGCACTGTATGCACAAAAATACTGCTTGCATTCATTTAACATTTTGGATTAAGTAAAATATTAATTTATTGGAGTAGATTTTTGCATAATTTGAATATATAATTATCATATAAAAATATTTTTAATGACAATAATACAGTTGTAATTATGAAGAAAATAGTATTCAAAGGATAAAAGAAGAAGAAATTTCTTTAATGCATAAAGAGCAAACCAACGCTCTAAAGTACTCAGTCACATATCTTAAACCCATGCTAAAAAAATATGCAATAAATGCTTTATAAGAAAAAGTACAAATGTGAAAAGGAGAATTAAAACATACAATTTACCTATGAGGTAAAAGTTGTATTGCCAAATGCAAATAGGCAACCAAAATTAGCACAAAATGTAGTCCTGCAGTAACACCACAATGCCTTAAAAAGGGACATAGTGGATTTATGCATCAATTCAAAAGTATAGTGGATTTATGCATCAGTTCAAAAGTAGCAATAGTTCCATGTAATCTAAAATAACCAAACACACCATTTATACAATGAAATATGTTGGAAGGTTATCAGGATGTTGCAAGCTGGTGCCATACAATCCACTGTTCCAAGAGAGCTGAATGTACATCACATTGCCATCAACAGGCTAAGGAATTGTTATTAAAGGGATCAAAACCCCTGTAGAAAATGTAAGTCTGCATGCCAGAGGATTACCACAATGGCAGACGATTGCTTCGTGTTGCTATGTGCAAGACACTATAGATCATTAACAACATGACAACTGGCATCGCATCTCTCTGCTGCTGTAATACAGCCCATATCCTGCCAAACTGTATCGTATCCTGTCAAACTGTATCGTATCGACTACATGAATGTGCAATGTACATCCAATGACTATTTGTGTTCCTTTCTACCCATCGCATATCAGAGCATAATTGAATCAGACCTCAGAGCAGTAGGGTCTTTTACTCTTTATGGATGAGTTTTGACATAACACCTACAATGATTCCTGAAGGGTAACAATATGGTGTCAGTCAGGGAGATGTTATCGGCATCAAATATAATTGAAAGAGACCATTAAAGAGGAGGTGACTTACCTGTAAGCGCTGGGATAGCAACAAACAGCGGCACAGACCTCTACATGATTCCTGGTTGTTCTGTCACAGCTATCCAATATCCCGACAATATTCTACACCCTCTTGTGTGTCCTTTAATTGCTGCAGTGGGTATCAATGCAATATTTATGGACCATAATGCCACCCACATACAGCTTGAGTGTTGTGGAGCCACCTGGAGAGTGAAACCATTCCACATCTGCCTTGGCCTGGTACATCACCAGACCTGAATCCCATACAGCAACTACAAGACATGTTGTAATGACAGACAGAAGGTCACAGTGTGTCGCCAGGCACCTTCCACAAGCTCTGACATGCACTACTACAGGAAACACTGTTCAGCTTGCCTTGCCATTGTTAAGCACGCATTTCAACTAGACAGTATCATGCCCATTATTAGTGTGATGTTTCCACTGTGCAATCTTCTGACCTATTTGGTTTTTCACGATGTGATGGTCTTAATACATGTGTTTTTGTACATCTTTGCTATGTGATCTAGTAATGCCACATCAACCTCTTGGATCAATTTCACACATATCTATTAAATAGTTTTTGTTTTATTCTGTGTTCTGCCTTTGTTGCTTATTTCTTGAGCAGGAGTTATTTTACATAATGTATGAGAGAATAATATAATGTTATTAATGAAGTTAATAAAACTATCAATTCCATTCTGACATAGACATTCTGTTCTGGCATGTCAAAAATAAATTGCATCTGTTAAAAATATATATGAAAATTTATATTTATATACACAAACTTGTCTTTCCTTTACATTATCTTGACTCTCAAAATAGAATAAACTTTTATGAGACTTAAAAATAAGTAAAATAAGTTTAACATTTTCATTTCATAAAATTAGATACATGATTTAAGTAGCATCCCAATTCATGAATACTTAATGCTAAAAATACATTCTGAATTTGAAAATTTTTAGAAAAGAAGCCTGAAAATCTAAAATGCAAAAAACCACTTTCTGCCAGAGCACACTCAGCTTAAAATATTATATTTTTAGCCTAAATGAGATACTAACCTTGACTACGCAAAACTCTGATGAATAACCTCGGAATTTCCAATTCTATAATGGAAGTACATGAATTTTACAAAATAAAAACAAACATGCATCATCATAGCCCATAAAGAAATTTTATGGAACAGTTATAATTAACGTGCACATACAAATAAAAACATGCAAAATAAGGTCACAACTATAAATGAAAATACATTTTCTTACCTTACTGGAATTATCAATCAAAATTTTAGTACAAAAATATATCACTGTTACTAATACAAATATAATCATTATTATCATTAAATTACTTTTTATATCCTTTTTCAAATTTAACAAAAAAATATTTTATTGGAAAGTCCTAAAAAATCAAATCTTCAAAGAATATCATTTATCGTAAAACTAGACTAGTCATTTAATATCACATACAATAAAAAACAATCACTTTTTTTAATAACTTTAATTTAGACTCTACCTTCAGTTGAACATAATAATCATATGCTTTAATATATTAAATAGTTCTAAATGCATTGTTTAAAGAAATGTCCAATGTATTTCAAAATACATTTTAGAGAATCAGACAACTCTGCTAAAATAATAAGTGAAATAAATGTATGGTACTTTTCTGTTAACGTGGTGGCAGTTGGTATTAAATGTTAATTGTGGTGTGGAATCTAACTAGAGAAGGAATGACATTAATTAATGACCATTTTATTAAATCCAAAATAAAAAAATAATTTTTAAAAAAAAAAAGAATAGATCCAGAAATTTACAAATAGAAATGTATGTAATTAGTGTAATTGACAGTCGTACAGCGATTCATTCGTAAACATAGTTCATAGAATTTTTGAAATACAGAAACTGCTTTCAGATGAAAAATGCACAAACTTTCATATTCTTTTTGCAATGGAATCTTTCATTGCAGCGTACTGGTTTTTAGCATTTGGTAGAAGAACATACAGTTCCATTTTGTGGTTTTCAAAAAAATCTTTCAGTATGGATAATAGCTTTGTTTTGAAAGAATGCAATTGCAACGCAACTTTTCATCACTCATCTACAGACTATCATGTAATCCATATTGATCCTTTATTTAGAGGGGTAAAAAAAAAATCAATACTTAAAAAAAAAAAAAAAAAAAAAAAAAAAAAAAAAAAAAAAAAGAAGCAAGTGAAAATGGCACAGGGAAAATAACTGGATCGATGTTAATTCCTCTTGCTTATTCCAAATGATATCATTGCATAGCTATTAGAGAGGTGAGATAACAGGTTACCACGTTTGGCACTTTGGCGCACAATAACATATGTTGCCCCATTAACAAAAAAGTTCTGAATTTATATAAGAAAACAATACACTGTTTCTTCAAGATTTTGATACTGTAAGAAAGAAGACAAAAACTTGAAATATTTGGGGGGGGGAGGACTTACCATATTATCCTTGCTTGTAAAATGTACCACCCATCCTTCTTTCAATATTTTGGAACCTTTTCTCCTCATCTGTTTTATACTTTGAACTATCCTCATTAATGGAATATTATTACTAGATGTAACACTGAAATATAAAAATAGCAAACACTAATAAAAACAACTATCACTTCCATATGAATTCAAAGAAAGCTATTATTGTAACTGATAAAAAACATACAATGAATTCATTACAATCAAAAATCAATCTCATTCAAAAATTTGTTTAAAATGCAAACAATTTATTCCAGTAAGATTATGAATATGTTATTTTCCAGTGGATTCTACTCTTTAGTATTAAATTTTAAAAAATATATATTTAATTCAATAACCATAACAAATTCAGTGATAGTTCACTGGAAATATAAAAATAAATGACAGGAGAAACTATATAACAAAAATACTTTTATTGACATGTTTATTAACATGAGAAATAATATCTAGCTTCATTAATCTTTTAATCATTATCAAATTATCAAGTGTATGATTGCATTATAAAATGCACAATTAACATTAAAATAGTGACACTCATGATGCATTCCCAACTTCTGAAAATTGATAAAGCGTTGTTTTCAGCTCTCAAAACATCTCCATCATGAGGATGCCATTCCAAAACACTGAGGAATTTCCTACATATGAAATTTTAAAATTCTTAAACTTCCAAATTTTAGAAATTTCAGTAAATCTTATTTAAACAATACAATAACTAGAAATCATGCCTCCACAAATAAATATTATTTTATTTTAATATGAATAAACTACAAATTTAATAGTTCAATTCAACATTTATCATAAATTAAGGATAAATTTACTATTATAAATGACAAATTTATGAATAAATTAATTTTGTTCACAAAGAAAAATAATACTTTGCTGGCATCTTAGAATCATCATCTTGACTATCTTGATTTTCAGTAGTTTCAGTTGTTTTCTCCGTTTGCTCACTTTCATTATCAGATTCATCTTCTATGCTTTCTCGCTCCCCTTCATTTTCACATTCTCCATTTCGACTGGCATCAGTAGCTGAAAAAAGAAAAATTACTAATTGGCAAACAAATTTCATATCATTATTACTTCCATACAGACTGAAATACTGTTAACTCTTCTAAATAAAAGTTAAAAAAAAAAAAAAAAAAATTATTATTACACGACTAGTAAATTATAACAAAATCATTAATTGCATTAATGGTGCAAATGCAGGGTTCGTACACATTTCTGCACACAAAAATTAAGTACTTTTAAGGACTTTTAAGGGACATTAATGAAAAAATAAAGGACCTATGAGCAAATGGGAACTGAATAAATTCAATTAAAAATACTATTCTATGCCTGAATTTCACTTTTGTAATACCATCCTAAAAATAAAATAGATCCGTGAAGTAGTATGCATTATTTACTTAAACATGAATTTGATTAACATAATTATTAATAAGTTTGAGAATAAAATAAACTTTATACGAAATTTATCAAGTAGGATTAAATATTTTACACTTATAATAGTTGGACATATTTGAAAGAAGATGTCATTTACTTATGTTTTACTAATAGTTAGATTTATGTTGATTTTTTTATGTCTCATTTTGTTACATACTTAGTCAGTCTAGAGGTTTAGTAAATAGCAGGTAGATTTTATGTCAAACGGTATAGGTTAAAATGAGAAGTAAGATCATAATCAGCATGATTCATAACAAAAGACTAAATGTTATCACTGCTGTTGCTTGTCTAGAGAGAGACCTGCTCATTAGAACAAACCTGAAAGGTCTGATGTAGACACAGTTGGAAAGTGTTGAAACTTAGTCAGGCTGTGTTTGATGCAGTTAGTGTCATAGCTTTGTGTAAAGAGGAATTGTAGCCCAGTTAATATACTTTAATGTTCCAATAAGTGATTAAAGTACCAGAGATGATAAGTTGTTTTGTATTAGTTTTAAGTTTCACTAGATGCAAAGAATAAGTTTTACTTGAATTTTTAAATTGTTGTGTTTTATCTTGTGACCACACTAAGTGTTAATGAAAGGCAATAACTCAACTTTAATATGTAGAGATAATTTTTAAGGGTAAGCAGTTAGTTTATAAATAATTAAATTAGGTAATTAGATAACCTTAGTCATTATGGATTTACATGGCCACTATTAAATTTTATTTCTTTTTTAACAATATTTGTTAAAAAAGCCTATTAAAATCAAAATCTGAATAAAATTGTCACAGTTTAAAATACATGTAAATTATGACATTGAATTCTTAAGCATGATATTAGGATAACTACACATTAAAAGCTACAAAACATTTATGTTTTATAACAACACTCAACAAAATATTTATCCTTCATTTTAATTTGAAGCCTTTCCAAACATTTTGGCTAGTTTATATAGATTTCCTTCTCTTTAATCATCTTTTCTAACAATTAGAAAGTTGTCTCAATATGCAAACCAATGCTCTCGCTAGTTTCTGCGTGCTTATCTCCTAACTTGTCAACATCTCCACAAGGTACCTATGAGGGCTTACTTGATCTGGTAAAAAAATAAATAGTCCCAACCCCCCCCACTGAATCATAAACTGAAAGGCTGAAATTATAAACAATTGGGTAAGTTACATAATAATAACAGCACATATCTTTGAGGAGTAATTTTCTTTACGTATTCAGTTTCTTTCTTCAACACGGTTCCTTTTCATTTTAGAATTTTTTGATCCAATTATTTCTGTTATTCTAAAAAACACTAAATGCATTTAGAATGTATAGAAAAAGTGGCTAATTTTATTTCTTTAGTAATATGAACATTCAGAAGAGATATGAAATATATATGGTAAAACCCGGTTCCAAAGCTGGTGTGGCAGAATTTTTAGAATTTAGTGACACACTGAACAACAAAATCTAGAAATAGCAAAACGTTTAGATTTTAGGATTCACAGAGATTGCATCAGGTGGGAAAATGCCTAGTGCCAGCTCTGTGTATGATGCACTAAGGCATATTAGATGAATCTTTTAAATTGTAAGTTTTCAATTTCTTTATTAATAAAAAATCTCCTTTCTATAATATGCCTGCACAAGTGATACGATTAGAAGCATTTTTTGATATTTTCCATGCTGTGTCCTAGTGAAAAGTAGAGAAAATAAAGGGGGAAGATAAACATGTTAAGAAAAAGATTCTAGTATCAGGAGTAAAAAGACTTAAATATTATGTCATTTCTTCATTGTTCTTCCACACGTTCTCCAAAAGGTAAGAAATTCATCGCAAACTTTCTGTAAAATACATCCATTACGTGTTGATACCATGGAGACATTTTTTTTCATTTTGTCACATATTTCTCTCGAAATCTTCTAGAATCGTGGGTCTATAAATCTTGACTTCAAACCCTTCTAAACTTTCCAAGCTGCAATGTCTAAAATACCTAAAGAAAAATTATCCCTAACCAATTCCTGTAACAGCAAAAAGTCAAGAAATATTTTGGGGAAAAGAAAGGGAAAGGAAGTTTAAAACTTAATTTTATAGAGAAAACCGATGCATATTCTGAGAATTTTGAATATTCTGAGACAATTACATGAGGAAAAACGCTTGGTACTATGAAAAAACTAAAAAGAAGACATTTTTAATTAATTGCGCCATAAAGAGCTAATCTTTGCTTTTGCTAAGTGCTGTTTGCTGTAAATCTGTGATTTAATAGCATTATACCTTGTTTATTTTTCAGATTCAAAATATTGTATAATATGTGGCCAAAATGGAACTTTATTAATATGATAGCGTTAAAAAATAAAAATGCTTCATTTTTAATGTTGTTTTTTAAGCATATAATTTCAATATATTACCATTATTTAAATGAAATTTATCAATGTTACTAATGTTTTAAAAAAAAATCGTCAAAAAATTCCCAGATCTCAAAATGAATTAAAATTTTCTATAGAAACTGATCTTAAAATCACCAAAATGTTGATAAGCGTTGCCAAATTTAGAACCATTTTAATAAAAAAATTCACATCTCCCAAAAGCGAAAAAGTTGTTTAAGAGAAAGCTCGTCATTAGAAAAAATGACACGAAAAATGAATTTCAAAATGCTTATGTTTCAGTCGTAAAACAGATAGAAATTTCAGATGATTAAAATTAAGGACCTTCTTCTGATTTTGGCCAAATTTAAGGACTTTTAAGGACCAAAAATCGATTCCAAAAAAATCTAAGGACTCTTAAGGACCGTACGAACCCTGTTGTTGCACATATATAGAAGGTAGACGGCTGAATTCTTACAATGAAAGCCACAACTCCCTTTTTACAGTTTGAAACTATGAAAAAATTAAAAAGAATGAAAAAATTAAACTTACTATGAAAAAATTAAAAAGAAGACATTTTTAGTTAATTGCATAGCTAATTTTGCTCTTGCTAAGAGCTGTTTCGTAAATTATGCTTTATAGCAATATGCCTTATTTATCAGATTCATAATATTGTATAAGTTGCCAAAATGAAACTTTAAAATATGACAGGGAAAAATAGAATGTTATTTTTTATATATAATTTCAATATATTACCATTATTTTAATGAAATTTATCAATGTTATGATGCTTTAAAAAAACTGGTCGAAAAATTGTCAGATCTCGGAATTAAAAATTTTCTATAGAAACTGATCTTAAAATCGCCAAAATGTTGACAAGTCGCCAAATTTAGAGCTGTTTAATAAAAGAATTCACATCCTCAAAAGCGAAATGTTGTTTAAGAGTTCTTTATTAGAAAAAAGGAATTTCAAAATGCTTATGTTTCACTTCTTGCTTAGAAACTCAAGTATCCCATCATTTTTATTAGAAATAGAAACAAATTATAACCCACGAACCCATTCAAAAGATAACCATATATGTCAGTGAATCGCCAAAAATATTCCTCCAAAATGCTAATTCACACTCAAAATGGCAGTCATAAAAACAGACAGAAATTTTAGATGATTAAAATTAAGGACCTTCTGCTGATTTTGACCAAAATTAAGGACTTTTAAGGACCAAAAATAAATTCCAAAAAATTTAAGGACTTTTAAGGACCGTACGAACCCTGAAATGGCTAATAAAAACATCAACTAGATGCATTGCATGCTACATTGTTTGATGCAGTTAAATGATGTATGTAACTGATGATTTCATTACATTATAAAAAAAAAAAATTACAATATAAAAATTGGTATATTATTAAAAAAAGGAAAGACAAATTATGAAATTCTTGAATCATTTCTTAAATGCTGTTTAAAAAATACAATTTAGAAATATGCTACAATAAAAAAATATTATTCTAACTCAATATCATTAACAACCATTAGGATTGGCATTTTGCCATGGAAGACAAATATTCTGCTATAACATGATAAGCTAATGGCAGCAATGTCAACTGCCATACTGTTCAGCTTGGGTTCGAATCCTGGAAGAAGGTGTATTTGTGTATATTCCCTTCTTGTGAATGTAATATTTGGTCTACTTTCTGAAATGCACCCTGGTCTATGTTCTCGATAATGATACGACTAAACAATTGATGGATTTGACCTCTTCAAATAATTGCTTAACAAGCGAGTATCCAGTCATTTGGGGGGGGGGCGAGATAATGACCAAAAAAAAAAAAATCGCAGAAATGGCAGTATACTTGGCTGTGTTGATGTTATTTATGCAGTAACCAACTCAGAATATTTTTGTGTAAAAAATGGAAAAATTATGTTATGTACATTTTTAATACCAAAAAATGGGGGAATAATTACATTCAGTCATTACAAATGCTAGAAATTAAAACTATAACAGCAACTAAAGCTTATAATCTTTTCACAACGGTTAAAAATATGACATATTTATTTTCTCAGCATATACAAATAATATTACAGTGCTCCCTGATGATAAATTAAAGCTGAAATACAACATAAATAGTATAAAGTAAAAATCAATTACTAATGGTTTAGTTCAATAATTTATTCAGCACATCATTTAAATATATGGTGGGAATTCCAAAACGATAACTACAGATAGTCACAGACTAAGACAAATCTGTCATAATAGCTGTAATTCTACAGT